TCAGACTCCTCCCGGGTCAGAACGGCCCTGCCCTTCTCAGCATGCCCTCACTCAGAGCACGGAGAAAATCAGAGAAAATGTAAATCTCGACCCTGAACTTAACCTGCATTTTTAAGATCAATGAAATTTCACAGTCTGGTAATTTCTTTCACCCAAATGCCCTTTCTGACAGGAAAAAAAAAAGAAAAAGAAAAAAGGCTTTTGGACATTTTGGTCAGTGGAATATAAATCGAAAAAAAAAAAAAAGTCCTGATTTGCTTCATTCTTTGAAACATTATCTAATGTTCTTCCTGAAAGGGAAACGGTAACAAGATAACCTGACTTTCTCCTTCTTCTCAGCTCTACTTTATAAACCTGCTTGATCCAAATTTTCAGATGAGCACCTGCCTCTCAGAGAACCCCCACGTCAGAGCCCCTGGGCTCGCCTTTACTTTAGTTGTTGGCTGTGCAGAAGGTAGTGATCCAGTCCCAACAGGCTCTTGGGAAGCCCACCTCGTGTTGCTCTTTCCAGCTGGGAGTGTCCAGAGGCAGAAAACAACGAAGAACCTCAGGATTTGGTCGAAGCTTCACCGTCCAGGGCTGCTATGATGAATGTGGCCCAAAGGCGTGTTTGGGAGGCCACCATGTCCCGTGCACTTGGCCCGTGGTCCCCGCAGTGCCTCACATCACTCAGCACCTCAAATGCACCCGCACTTCCAGCCGCCTCATGTCCCCAGTGTGGCTTGGCTGAGCTTGGTGGCCACCCCAGTGCCCCAATCAGGGGCTGTCCTGGCTTCTGCCTCTGTGGACACATGTCCCAGTGAATGGTCACGGCTCTCTGGAGTTCCATCGGTAGTCGTGATGGGTGGTGGTCATGCCCGCCCAGCTCTAGGGCTCTGGGTCCCAGCCCCGGGGTGCATCCTGCCCCCTGCCCCCGCCTCTGGCTCAGGGACCTCCTGCTGCCCACCTGCATGGAGGCCATGCTGTGCCTGCAGGTGTATGTCCTCCCAGGGCAGCTCTTCACCAGAAACATGACAGTGAGAGATGTGTGAGCTTAGCCTTTCCCTCTCCTGATCCTTTAGCTTTCCTTCATTTCGTGGTCATTGTCCCATTCATGTCCAGTTCAGGGACTGGAAGGTGCCTGATGAGGACACGGCATATTGCATCCAGGGCTCGCTTCTCTGCAGACCCCTTTCTGAGGCATATGGGGCCGTGGATCCTTGCTGCCTTCTGAGTCCTGGATCTAATTTTTTGTCCATCCAGCCCGGAGAGCCCGCTCCAAGCTGTGACTCTGCCTTATGTTCAATCTCCGAGCTCTGCAATGCGAGCCAGTGAGGCCCCAAGGGGAAGCGTGGCGGTGGATGGGTGCTCACTCTGTACCCTGCCCGTGTCCCTGGGGTCTTCGCCCCTCAGTGCCAATGCCTGGGTAGCTCTCTGATACCTTCGAACAGCTACTTTTTAGACTTCCTGCCATTCGTGCCATGATTGTCTGTGGGATAGGCAGTCGGATGGAGGAAACCCACAGAAGGTGAGGCGGGTGGTCACCGCGACACCTTTTACATTGTCCCCCACTGCCCCTTCTGCCTTTGGGTGCTGAGTGTGGCCGGGAGCCTCCTCCTGGAAGAGCCAGCCCACATGCCTCACCTGGCAAGCAGATGGTGCTTTAGTTCAAAGTAGTGCCGTCGGCCTCAGCTCCAGGCAGCCACATGCTGACCAGCAAAGATGGGCTGGATTTCAGGCCCCAGGTCCCCCACCCCCTGGGGCCCCGGCATGCACCTCCCCACCTGTGCTACCACTCATGACTTATGCGACCATCTGTCTTCTGTCAAAGGCTGCAGAACTTACCCTGTTCATTATGCTTAATGATCAATATTTGCACTTTGATCTCAACTTTGGAAGCAAAGAGAAATCTGAGAGCAAAAACCTATAAAGGCCACAGCCAAAGCACCAACACAGGCACATTCAATCGTTTTTCTAAATATTTTACTCTACTCGTGGGCTACTAAAATTGGAAAAAAAAATTTTAAAGTCACATCTGTAATGATATACTTTCAAAAAATATGAATTGTGTGCACTGGCTAAAAAAAAAAAGGAAAGGTTTATAAGGTGAGTTGTTGAGTTTTATTTCTGGGAAGGAGGACACTAGAGGGATTTTTTTCCCCCTTTTACTTCTGCTTTCCTTTGTTTACCAGATTTTGTGTAATAAGCCTGAATTGCTTCTTAGTTCTATTACATTTTTACGCTAGAAAAAATATATATACAGCTTGTATAATTATTAGGACTGCCGTCTTTGGGGACGTAAGCATGAGTTTGAGACCCAGCTTGGCTCTGTCCCAGCTACGGGACCTTGGGAGGGACGCTCGGAGCCTGTTTCATCATCTGTGACATGGCGGTAACACACCTGCCTCAAGGGATGGCTGCGAGGGAGCCCGTCAGGGATGCTCCCCACTGGGCCTGGCACAGACTTGTGCAATGGAGTGGCTTACCTTTATTACTGTAGTTAAGGTTAATATTTAAAAAGCATTAATGTCAGCAAAAATAGTATCAAGATGTGCTTGCCAATATTAAAAAAGATTAATGCTAATATACACTAATATTAAAGATCTATTCGCATCTGAGATAGAACAGTCTCATGTCCTGAGAAAATGCACGAGTCTGGCTGGGGCACACGCAGGTGGGAACGGAAGAGCAGCGGGCAGCGCGCGCCCAGCACGCACCACCAACCCACCAACCCGGCGCTGCCGCCGCCCCTGACTCTGCGTCTCTGCCTCCACCCTCTGCCGGCGCTTCGGGTCTCCTTTATCATTCCATCCTTTGCGCCCTGCCCCGGGCCAGGCCCAGAGCAGGTGTTCAACAGGTGTGTGCCAAATGAATAATGGGACCAGCAACGAGACAAGCTACTCTTATTCTCCCTGTTTATCTGAACAGAAGAATTATAGTTCGTGTATCTGAGCGGCCTCCCTGCTGCTGTGAGCACCTCTCCGCGCTCAGACGCACGTCGCTGTAAGCGGATGGACCTGGTGCATCTCACCTGTGACCTTATTTGCAGAAGGAGCTGATGCACAGCCACAGACTCAGTCAGTGGGGACACAGGCCACCTGTGAGGCGGGCGGGCGGGCTTGGAGGGCGTAGAGCATCGGTGCTCACGAGAAGGGAGAGTAGGGAATCCTCATGACTGATCCAATGTGTTTTTGGGTCTGACAAATTTTTTTTAAAAATTACATTTATTTAGTGCATGTACACATAAAAGAGAAATCGCTCTGACCCCACTCGGCACAAACCCCAGGTCTACACACAGGATAGGGGCTCTGGCCCCAAGGTAGAGGTTGGCATGGTGCAATCCTGTGTCATAAGCCCATAAGGCGGTGGCCCCTGCTGACAACACAAAGCTTTTAATGGGAGTTGGTATTGCTAACATAGATCAGGGTGGTCAGCCGTCCCAGCTTCCCTTGAGAGGCTTCATGGGACAGGGGTATTCTGATTTATTTTTAAATTAGTTTATTTTTAATTGAAATATTTGACACATGGCATCATATAAATTTAAGGCATATAATATGTTAACTTGGAAATTTTTTTTTAAAAAAAGGTCTTCTAGTTTTAAAACCGGGTCAGCCCCAGGGGAAACGGGACCAGGCAGTCACCCCAGCCTGGACTCTCAGCTCTCCACCGACAAGGGCAGGCGTTCCTTGAGCCTCTTGCCTGGGGAGGAAGCCTCCCACTGCCCTCACTGTCTCAGGAACTGGTGCAGCTCAGGTGACTCAAGTGGACCATGGGGCTATTTGCCCAGGGCCAGCAGCTGGTCTGTTGCAGGTGCACACAGGTGAGGTGTGGATGGTTCTGGTCCCTTTATAAGTTCAGGGTAAGGATTAAGCACCCAGCCAACTACAGGCCCCCTTTCCCTTATCTGGAGCCTTCATCTTTTGAAGAGATGTATGAGCTAGCTAGGTAGGTAGCTGGATTTAGGGTCTCCCACCGGACCCCTCCAGCTGTGCTGCCCAGGTGCCTTAATTAGGAAAACCTCACAGCACATGAAGCCCATCAGCTCCACCATGAGAAGAACAGCCGTCACTTGAAGTCATTTGACATTGTGGGGATTACGATCCCACTCAGGGAGTCTCCCATAAGGTAAGACAGCAGCACGTCTGGCCAAATCTGAAGAGACAGAGAGTAGATCCAGGGTTGCCTGGAGTTGAGGGTTTTCGGGGAAAGGGGAGTGATTCTAATGGACATGCAGTTTCTTTCTGGAACCAACAAGATCCAATCAGTGTAGTGATGGATGCCTAATGCTGTACATAAAAACTAAAAACCATTGTATTGTGTACTTTAAATGGTTCATCGTATCTTGAATAAAACTGTTATTAAAAAAAAAGTCTCGGGGATCCCTGGGTGGCGCAGCGGTTTAGCGCCTGCCTTTGGCGGGGGGCGCGATCCTGCAGTCCCGGGATCGAGTCCCGCGTCGGGCTCCTGGCATGGAGCCTGTTTCTTCCTCCTCCTGTGTCTCTGCCTCTCTCTCTCTCTCTCTCTTTCTATGTCTATCATAAATAAATAAATAAATCTTAAAAAAAAAAATCTCACCACCTCACTTTCTACCAAAAAATTCTCTACCCCAGCTAACCAATAGCAACAACAATCCCACGGAAACCTCAAACAACAAACACAGAAACAGTCAAGCTAGAAGAAGACCTTTTTTCCCCCGGTGGAGACTTGCCCACGTCCTCCTCGTACAGCGTGGGGGGGGGGGGGGCTGGGGCCAGCTGGGAATGCTCATAGGGCGCCGCGCAGCCCTCCGGGGGTTACCAGCCCTCTTGGCGGGTCGGCAGGCGTGCAGCCTGGAGAGGCGCTGGGCCCAGCACGGTGGACGAGACCCCCAGGACTTGCTCCACGTCAGTTCCAGAATCACGAGGAGGAGAGAGCTCAGCTCCTCAAGCCTAGCGGACAGGAGGCTTCTCCAGGAAGTTGGACGTTTGGCGGGGAAATAGGAAGTAGGAGGTAAGTGAGAAAGAAACACCCCACAAGATACGGACTTGTCAAGCCATGGAAAGCATTTTAATGACAACTGGCATCACAGGTATAAATAAATAGCTCCTGTCCGTCTATAATATGTGCTAGAAATATCTTTTTAAAAGGTCCAGCTAAGGTTACGAGGCTTCAAGGACCCTTTCTTAGCTACTGATTTTAGTAATTAAAAAAATAAAAACAATGGGCGTCCAGGTCCGCGAGCGTCGCCTGCGGGGAGGGCAGGACGAGCCGGCGCCCACGGCCCGGAGCATGGCAGTCACCGAGGCGCTGTTCACAACACGTACTCTGCTCCGCCACGTACAATTAATTGACTTTGGATGAATGCATTTTGCAATGTGCTGCTACACAATTAGGCTGTTAAAAACCACAGTTGGTCGACAATCTAGCATAGATTTAAATCTTGTCCTTTCATGCTGGTATGCTCCGCCCCACGTAGCAAGAGAAACAGCTCAGGAACCCTCCAACAGTTTCTATCTTGGTTCATTTCTCAGTATCAGTAGGTCTTGTGACAGATCAACCACAGGAGCTTGCACAGATTAGTCTCGGGTACGGCCTCTCCCACGTGGAAGGGGCCCGACCTCCCCTGATGTGGGAGTGTCCCCGCATTCCCAGCAGTGCAGCCATGGGCTTGGCTGCAGGTGGCTGCGCCCCCTTGGAGCAGCCTCAGGCGGCGTCCCACCCATTGGCTGTGGACCTGGGCCCGCGGTGGCAGGGGTGGCAGGTCAAGACAGCGCCTCCTCCCCTCTGATTGCAAAACCTCAACAAACATCAAGGATGGAGGGATAGAGAAAAGCATCGAACCTACTACTTTAAGGATGGGTTAATTGAGACTGTTGCTAAGAATACATCTAACATATAGGAATATAACGTACGTTTAATTTAGGAAAAATATATCATTTGATCCTCAGAAATGAACATTAAATACAAATCAAGTGGACTTGGACACCAGAAAGAAAACGGCGTGTGAGGGAGACAGCATGGGAACTCAGAAGATTATCAGGTAAAGATGGAAAACCCTTAGGTCCACCCCAAGAAGCCCTGGGGCTCTGAGCCCTCTCTCCCCACACCCAGGGGGATGCGTGGATGGAGGCTGTCCTCCCAGGGGACGCCCAGCCAACACTGAACCTGTCCCTTAGCAGCCCCTCGCTGTAGATTTTGCTCCTTTATTAGAAATATAAAGAGATGATCACTTCTGTCTTTTTATTTGTCTTTTTGCATTTTTTTTAACAAATAATTTTTGGTAGCTTGTCTGTTCTATTTTGACTCATAAACTCACTTTCCGACGGTGCAGGCCGGAGTTTGCTCCGCTGACTGGGAACTCCGCCGTCACCGGCTGCTAAACCCGCTGCTGCAAAAGAAGCACGCAGCCCTTGCCGGCTCGGAGGCCTCCGCGGTCCGCCGGCCCCGGTGCGTCCCGCTCGGCGCCAGACCCTCCGACGCCCGGGCCAGCCCACTCTGGAGCCGAGCGAGGAGCCAGGCCCCGCGGGGGCCTAGGCCGGGTCCTCGAATTTCTCCAGGTAGTTTCTGAGCTCCTCGGGGGCGCCCGGGGACACGTCCTGGCACACCCACTTGATGTCCTCACCGCCGCCGCCCCCCAGGATGGAGTTCACAGTGGGGCAGCCGTCGTCGGGCGGGATGGTGGTGAAGGTGGTGAACTTCACTTTCTTCCTTTTGGAGGTGGGTGAATGCAGGGGCTCGGGCTTCGGGTCCCTGGCCGGCCTGCCCGCCGAGCCCGCCCGGTGCACCTGGCCCTGCACGTGCTGCCGGGCGCCGCCGTTGAGCAGCAGCCGGCTGCCGTCGTCGCTGCCGCCCGGCCCGCGGTCCAGGACAGTCGTGTGCTCGTCCTGCGGGGGCGACCCCTCGCCCGCGTGCTCCAGGAGCTCCGCCTCGTTGCCCAGCCACACCCAGTCGTGCGAGTGGGTCACAGAGGCCTGGCCTTCCAGGGGCACCTGCTTGTGGCGGTACCTGAGGGCGAAGGTGGCGCAGTTGATGAGGAAGACGAGGATGGCCAAGCAGAAGACGCAGAGCAGGGCGTACATGCCGATCTCCAGGTCGCTCAGGCCCCGGGGCGTCTGCACCAGGTCGCCGGCCCCCAGGCCGCCCTCCGCCCGGGGCAGCTCCACCTGCGCCGGGAAGTTGGCGAAGTCCAGGGGGATGTTCTGCAGCTGGTCCGCCCCGGACGGCCTGCCCGCGTCCGGCCGGCCGCTCTTCACCACCCTGTTGTCCAGGAGCGGCCTGGCCGTGCTGTCGCCTCTCTGCCGGGCGCCGTCCTCGCGCTCCCCCGGGGCTCCTTGGAGGTGCCCCTCGGGCTCCTGGCTCTTCTGCCGGCGGTCGCTGGCGTGGTTCTTGATCTCGCCGCCGTCGCCGTCGCCGTCCGCGCCGCGGCTGGGGTCGGCGTTGCCCTGGCCAAACTTGACCCTGACGCTGCCCACACCCACGGCCAGGACGCTCTTGCGCTTGGACTTCTGGCAGGCCTCGGCGATGGACATGTCCACTCGCACCAGCGGCCCCTGGCCTTCCCCTTCGGCCATCACCACCGGCCACCTGGGAGAGCGGGCCTGGGGGGTGGACACGACGGCCTCGTCCAGGGAGGTGGCGGTCAGGGTGAAGTCCTTGGTGTCGTAGATGTCCAGGGGGGTAGCGGAGCCGTCGCTGAGCTGGAGCCAAGTGCTGACCACGGCCTCCTGCGGGGAGAGAGGCTGTTAGGAGGGCACCGTCTGCGGGCGGGGAGGCCTCTTCTCTTCGGAACCCGCCTGCCCTCCCAGAACAGAACCCAAAGTCCAGAGGCTGGACTCAGATCCAGACTTGGCGGCTGATGAATCTGGGGAGAAGACACACAGGTTTTATATCAAGATCCGAGAACCGCTGTAATTTAAGTAAGAACACATGTAGACCTGTGGTGACATCGCCAGCGTCATCCTTACCCAGGACCCGCACAAGGACCCCTGGCGGAGACCCTCGGTGGCCTCTAGTCACAGAGACACCACGCCGAGTCCTGACGCTCCCTGCTGCTTGCTCCCATGCCTCCACCTCCTCTCCTGATGGTGCAGCCTGTTACTGGGTCTGGATCGTCCCTGATAACCTCCCTATCTCAGGATCTCACTCACACCTGCGAAGTCCATCCTGCCCGGCGGTGACGGGTGACACATGCACGGGTCTGGGAGCTGGGACGTGGCTACCCTCGGTACCCCACTGCCAAGGGGCAATGCTAGCTGTGCCTCCGGGGAACCTGCCGCTGTCCTCTGTGTCACCTGTGCACAGACTCACTTGACCCTCACAGCGACACCCCAAGTCGATGCCGTGACCGTCACCACTTCCTGTTCTGCAGGGCGGGCTCCTCACTTCCCCCTGTGAAGCTCGCATAGGCACGTGCTGAGGCTGAGGTTTGAGTCCAGAGGTCCGGCCTGAGTCCTAACCACCACGGCTGCCCTGTCTCCTGGCTGTCTGTGGCTCTGAGGTCACTGTGTGGGCCCGGGGATGGAGACCGTCTTGATGTGTCTGGAATTCTTGCCTATTACCTAAGACTGGGGATCTAGTGACGTGTGTGAGAAGCCCATGCCAGACACCGAGGAGCCTTGCAGAGGGCTGCGGAAGGGCTGGGAGCCAGAAAGGGAGAGGAGACACACACGGTTGTTGGTGGTGGTGGGCGGGGATGCCAAGTCTGCGCTGGTCTGAGTGTGCTGCGTGTGTGTGTGATGTGCACTCGGGGAGCTCTGGGATTGGGGGCAGGTGGTGGGAGGCCTGGAGGGGAGGCGTGGGCCCTCCCATAACAGGGGTGCAGGCTAACCTCTGTGAGAGGAGCAAGGAGCAGGGCAGGCATTTGCAAGACTGAGAAGAGCTGATGGAGCTCCGGGGGTCTGTTATGGGTGAAGGATCCAGTGTCCTCTCTTATCCTGGCTTCTGGGCATGATGTGGAAGGGTAGAGAATTTGACATGAGTTTTGAAATAAATACATGCATCCACTATTTCTCCTGGTCCATTTTTTTTTTTTTTTGGAATGATCGTTTTGGGTCTCAGTTTCCCACACTGCCATGGGAGTGTGCACACCTCAGCCACAGGATCTGAGATGGACATCTACGTGGCTTGGCTGTCTTCTACCCCTCCTTTCCAGCAGGGACTGGAACATGAGCTTCCCTTGGGGGGAACCAGGTCCTCCCCACTCAGGGTCTGTGTGCCCTGGGTGGGCTAGACCGACCACTCCAGGGCCAGACCCGGGCACATGACCAAGGCCTGGCCTCTCGGAATATTCCACCATCCTGTCCTCAGTGATTGGCTCGGGAAGGGAGCCATGGAGGATGGAGACTGGCCGATGGGAGGGGTTCCCTGGGTTTTGGCAGAAACCGCAGATGAGAAATTTGCATTCCCTGGGGCTGCTGAGTTGGGGTGCAGGCCTGTAATGATAGTGGCCATCCTGCAGCTAGGGGGAGGGGATCTGCTGGAACAGGAGACCAGCACGGGGGAGAGAAGAGTGAAGAGATGATGGAGAGAGAGAGAGAGATTTTTTAAGGGCATGTTCCAACAACAAAGTAGACTGTCTGAGGATCAACCACTTAAAAACTAGACAAAAATATACAAAACAAACAAACAAACAAATAAACGAAAACAATGCAAATTCCCAGGAATCAGAAGTGAAGAGGAAACGCATCCCAGAGGGGCGCATATAGATAGCTGTAACCGAGGTGGCCTGGGGGCAGGTGTCAGAACGGCTCAGAAGGCTTGCCAGCCAGTGGCGGGGAGCCGGATGCCCACCCAGGGGCTGTCAGATAGGGTGAGGCCCTCTGCATACAGCCAGGACTGCCGAGAAGGGGATGAGGAAATCCTACCTGCTTGGCCAGAAAGAGCAACGATACTTATTTGTGCTCTGAGCCCTGCTGGGAAAACGTGTCCCCTTGAAATCAAAACCCCACTGGGTCCACACACCAGTGGGGTGGGGTCTGCAGTGACCCGACCTGTATGGCGCATGGCCGCCAACAACCAGATGCACGTGGAGCGGGACCATGCAAATGCAGCACTGCAAATAATTCCTATTGGGAGTAAAGCAAAGCAGCCACAGCTCAAGAGGCCCTCTGGATTAAAAAAAAAAAAAATTCATGATCCTGAAGGAGAGGGCTTTACCATGAGAGGAAGTCATAAAACATTCATGTTGACCAGCAGAGCAAGGATTTTGGAGAATAGAACAACTGAAAAAAATGATAAAATAAGATAAGCCAGCAACAACGACAAAACAGCCCATGAAATAAACAGTTCATGGGACATGGAACAGAGTAGATGCCACACGCCGAGCTCGGCTGTGCGGGGAAAGACCAGGATGGTGTGGGAAGAACCACATAGAAACAACAACAACAACAAAAAAAACGCTTCAGTGGAAATGAATTACCCAGTGGCTGGTGGGCAAAGCAGATTAGACACATCTGGGGAGACAGGGCCAAGGAATTTACCCACAACACAATCACAGGAAGGAACGTACAAAAGACTAGTTGAAAGAAACAAGGGACAGGGTAAGAGTTTTTGGTGACAAGTTCCAGAAAGGAACAGATGGGAGAACTCGGTATTTAAAGAAATCATGGCTGGAGTTTTTCCAGAATTGAGAACAACTGTGGATGATAAAGATGAAGGTTTCTGGGGACAGTGAGTAGCTGGATCTAGCTTGACCTGAAGACAAACCTCCAGGCACGAACCGATCAATGCCGACGTAGGCTGGGGTCAGCCTGGGTTGGGTCTCTGGACCCGTACCTGAAAGCCCAGAGCAGTGCTGATGCCGTTGGCCTGGGCAGGGGCGAGGGGGATTGTGCATGGGATCTGCGAAGGGCGTGGCACCCACTGTTGGTGCCTTCCACTCCCCCATGGCACCCACTGCTCGGCTTTCAGGGGTCGGCTCTGCAAGATGGTTTTGCCTGAGGGAACCCATGTGGCCATGCCTGGAGGCGGACGTGCAGGGAATTAAGTCCATGCAGAGGCAGCCCTCCACGGGTTCCCTTGCCCCTGGTCGACACTGACTGGAGGTTTCCCCAGGAGCCCACTCTGGGGGCCGGGCGGGGGACACACTCGACTGTCTGCCATCCCTCCTAGCACTTCCCGACTCCTCTACCGGGGCTCCCTTCACCACTCGAAGTAAGTATTTGAACATGAATCCTCACGTCAGGCTCACCTTCCCAGGGCACCAGAAGCAAGGCAGGCAACAGAGCTCAGAAATTTGGTTCCCAGCCTCATCCCCTCTGTCCACATCCACTGGCAAGTCACGCAATGAGACGGGCCCCCCTCGGGAGCCTCGATCGGAAGCATGAATGCCAGGGATTCCCCTTTCACTTCTCTGTCCTGGCTTTCCTCAAACAGACGAAGCACAGCGGAAGTGTCTCCTCTTGCCCTCATATCTACAGCTTTAAACATCTTCAGCTTTTGTACCTCAGGGTCGACATATCAAGACCCAGGTGCCAGCTTTCCGCACGCCAAGGGCTGACACTGAAACACCGTTCCCACTGCCTGCGAGCTCATCGTGGCTGACCTTCCTTCCTGAATTCATTTTTCTCCACAAACCCTAGACAGAGAAAGAACTTCCCCTAAAACAGCCCCACCCCCCAGCGGCAGACAGTCTGAATTAAGCCCTCAGCGCACGGTGGGCTTGCCCAAATCCATCTCCATTGACCCCGGTGCGTGGACGAAGGTGAGGCCCTCTGTTAGCTCGTTTCAGGGCGGTGAACCCGGGGCTTACCCAGGAGCGCCAACGCATTTCCCCAAGGATCAGAAATTCTAGATGACTTAACAGGCACGCCCAGGCATAAGGCAGAGTGCCATCCTTTCGTGAGTCATGTCTGAAAATAGAACGGACCACATCCATACATCCCCCCACCCCGAGTCAGTGCTGGGACGTCCGATCACCATGGGCTGATGGGAGCAGATGGAGGCACCGCACGGGGGCAGGGGCGCTGCCGCATGCCAGTGGGGCGGTCGTGGCCATCAGCCCCTAATTAATCACCCATTCTCAGCAAAAGCTCCCTGCTTTGTCTCCCCCCTTCCTCTCTAGCCCCCTTACTTTGCTCTTTAGAAAGCAGAAAACACCAGGCCCCCAGGAGATGGAGGGAAGCCAGCTCTGGGGGCCTGAGGTGGATGGGGTCCCTCCCGCTGATGCCCTGGAGCAAAGTCAGCGAGCGACTGCAAGATTCCTAGGATGGCCCGGCCCCCGGCTCTGGAGCCTGGGACTGTAATGAGAGGCCGCTCCCGTGATTATGCCAGGTTGTGCCGCGCAGTTGACCTGAAGATGGGGAGATGTGCCTGGATCATCCGGGTGAGCCCAGCGTGGTCATGTGAGCCTTCGGGAGCAGAGAGATTTCTCTAGATGGCAGCAGACGGGAGGTCAGAGATTCAAAGCATGAAAGGACTCCATGCACGTTGCTGGTTTTGAAGATAATGTGGGTGTGGGAAGTGAGAAGGAACACGGGTGGCCTTGGGGTCCCGAGAGACGCCCCCGGACAACAGCCACAGAGAAACAGACACCTGACCCAGAACTGCGGAGAGGAGGAGCATGCAGGCCGACAACTCCCCAGTACACCCCAAGGAGAGCCCCGGCCGCCGACTCAGGCCCCCAGGTGCCCTGGACCTAGCGCCCAGCTAGCTCATCCGGGCTCCCGGCCCGCAGAGCTGAGCTCCTAAGTGGGTGTTGTTTTCAGCCACGGAGCTTGTCACTCCGGTTCATCACAGAGCCCAGGACCCAGACGATGTCGTCTTGTGGATTTTCCGAGCCCCCGTCACTGCCTTCTGGAACGTGGTCCAGCTGCTCTGACCCGGCCCTCCCTGTGGAGTCAGGCACAGAAGCTCATCTGCCCCTCTCGGCCTCTGGCTTCTGGGTCCCTACCTGTTTGGGGGTCCGCAGCAGCTCCTCAGCTGTGGCCACAGCGGTGATGGCCTTGCTGTTCTCCGTGCTGGGGTGGAGGGTGACAGACAGCCCAGCCACGAGCTGGATGGCCAAGTCTGTCACCGATACCTTGTCATCTAACACGGTCACCGTCTTCTCTGCCAGGATGGAGTCAGAGAGCGGAGACAACACCTGGCAGGACAGAATATTCCCAAATGTTGGAATCTCCCTCAGCACCGCTTCCTCCTTGCCCCAGGCCTGGGTCCAGAATATGGGGCTAAGGGATCCCACTATAGATGCACCTGCCCGTAGCAAGCCTTTGCAAGAATCAGATAAAGCCGCCTTTCCCCAAGAAACTTTAGTTCTGTTGGAAAATTGCAGTAAGCATTAAAATCCATTCTAATCAGAAAGGGAGACAGAACATAAAGACTCCTAACTCTGGGAAACGAACTAGGGGTGGTGGAAGGGGAGGAGGCGGGGGGTGGGGGTGAATGGGTGACGGGCACTGAGGGGGACACTTGACAGGATGAGCACTGGGTGTTATTCTGTATGTTGGTAAATTGAACACCAATAAAAATTAATTTATTAAAAAAATGAAAAATAAAATAAAATAAAATCCATTCTATTTTTTAAAAGGAAATGGCTCCTCCCGTTTAGATGAGGCACTCTTGTACACTGTACAACCTGGCTAACTGTGCATGGCCATCCTGTGGGCCAGGCTCATGAAGTTGACTTTGTGCCACCTGAGATCTCCAGGTGAAATGATGGGAATGTACCCATTGTTTCCACATATGGTTGTGGTCTCAGGATCCAGAATGATATCCCCAGAAGGTGCACTCAGTGGGGCAGAGCTTGAGGGGTTTCAGGAAAGCCCCTCCCACTCCCTGTCATCTTATCTGAGATCCTACCATACAGTGCATTTCCTTGAACAAAAGGGTAGTAGGACTTTGAAGAGAGCTTGTTGGATGAATCCATGGCAGAATGACTAAACGCTTCAAGGGAAGAAGGAAGGATCCTTCCCCCAGCCACGGGCAGGAGCAGCGTGGAAGGTGGGGGAGTGGGGTTCTCAGAGGTGTAGGACAGCCTTCTTGATTCTGTTTGTAAGGAGATTGGGACTCATAGAGCTGGTCCAGGCTCATCTCCTGGAGTCCTGAGGACACCATCCTGGGGGCCAGGAAGTGGGGCCAGGGACCGACCTTTCTTGTGAGCTTCCCCCAGTGTGAGGCATGGGGTTCAGCTCGGGGCATGCAGAAATCCTGAGCTCTGGCTTCCTACCTGGATGGTGGTCATCCCGACCTCCCGCCCGACCAGGATCCTGCTGTCCTGGAGTGTGGCCACGTGAGGTTCCTCCAGCTTCATGAAGTCTGCAACCAGGTGGGTGATGTCGACTTGCCAGTCGGGACTGAGAAGGTGGCTCGGCTGGCCCCACGGGCCAGCGCCCTCCGACACGAACTGGGTGAGGACCCGCACTGTGGCGTGCTGGTACTGCAGGGCACAGCCTCGGCCCCGCCGCTCCTCCTCGTCTTCATCCTCGCTCTCTCGAGTGGGCCTTGGGGGAAAGAGAAGCAGCCCTCAGGTCCCAGGAATGGGTCCAAAGATGCTCTGGAGCTGCAAGCCAGACTAGGCAGGTGCCTGCCTCAGCCTCCAGGGAACAACAGTCCCAGCAGGAGCCTCAAGACCCTGCGGGAGCGCTGATTCCACCACAGGCAGCACACAGGGTTAGGCTTCTCTTTCTCAAAGACATCCTTTGACAAAAGGCTTAAGAGCTCACACTTACGAAGTCTACACAATCCAATAAATAATAGCTAACAGCCACACACACCTACTTACAATTTAATTTGAATGAATAAGAATTAAACAAATTAAAACTTTAAATTTCTTAGTCACGCAAGCTATATTCCAAGGGCCCCATAACCCCACCTGCTAGGGGCTGCTACAGCGGACACTGTGGTTCTAGAACATTCCACCACTGCAGCCAGTTTTATTGAACAGAGCTGTACTACGCTCTTGGGGTAGAGGTGCCCTTCTAGGTGCCACCTGTACGCACTCTTAATCTCCTTGCGGCAGCAAGTCTCAGGTCTGCCCTCCCCAGGGACGTGGAGCTCACTCATTCTCTGGGTCACTTGTGACCATCAAACAGTCTGAAGGGCTGTCTGGATTCATGGCTGACCCCCCGCCCAGTTGGGGCAGATTCCTTCAAGTTTTCCTTGGAGAGGGAGATGCTGTGTCTTATGGGTAGAGAGGATCTCCCTGCGTGCACGCTGGCTTGCCCCTTGCAATGAAGATCTATTGCCTGGGAGACTCCAGAAAGGAGCCCTGAGGATTCAAGATGGAAGATCCCAGGAAGGAGACCAGGAAGGTGACAACAGCTCTTATTCCCCTGACCAGAGGACCACAGAGCCAAGGAAACGACCCCAGCTCGTCCATATGACAATCCAGAGTCACACAGAATAAATTAGAGCCCTTTCTTTCTTTCTTTCTTTCTTTCTTTCTTTCTTTCTTTCTTTCTTTCTTTCTTTCTTTTGTTTAAGAGCAAATGGTGACTCCATGGTCCAATACGAATGCAATTAAGTTTTATGCAGTTATTTGATATGCACAGAGCCAATCAAGCTTGTAGATATTCATAAAGCACAGGAAAAGAAACTACTATTTCACTCAGAGTAAATAACCCCAAACTCAAATTTCCCTGAGGGCTGAGAGGCTAGAAAAATGTTTCACTTCTCTCATGTCATTCTGGGGGAGCCACTTCCAGGACCATCTACGGGAAGCTCAAGTCCAAAGTGTACACAGTCTGGGGTTGATGATGATCCTGCCATTTTTCAGCCTCCTGCCTGGCTGGTTATCCTGGGCCGTGGTTAGGCTGGACAAGATGTAACATACAATCAGGCCAGCATCTACCATGTGCTGGGCCCTGTCCTGGCTCCATCATCAACAAAGCCGCTGTGATCACGGCTCTGGTGCATCTCCCATCCTGGGCTCACCTCTTACTGGACACAATGGGGACCCTCCAGCCTTTGATCTGGCTCAGCTCTGTGTCAGAGACCTCAATCTGTAGGGGTAGCCGGGGCACCCACACGGTGATGTGCAGGGAGGCACTCAGGTGCTGGTAGGTGAAGTTCACCACCGCATCCACCTTGCCCTTCATCTCTTTGCCATTGACAAAGACGTAGTCACATCTTTCAGACACCTGCAAAGACAGAAAGGGGTGGAGAAGTCACCAGGCCCTACTCACCACTCCTCTTCCATTTGTGTTTTCCTCTAGCAAAGCACACATGCTTAATTTAGGGTCTTTCCAGTGCAGAGCCTAAGACAAGGATTCTGTGCATCTGGTCTCCTTGGGAGATGGCTCCAGGGAGAAGCGAGTAGGGAGCAGAGTGAGAAAGAAAGAGGATGAGTCAATAGAAAGCTACTTCTTTACTTTTTTGCTGTGGATCAGTTTCTCTGGAACCTCATGAAAGCCTACAAAATTGTCACCGAAGGGTAGGAAGCAGGAATATTATGTATCAGCTCCCATCTCTCACTGCCCCTATGTGTTAACTCCCCGGCACTTTCAGGCTGAGATGCAGGCCCATGGCACCTGAAAAGACCCTGGGATAGTACACAGTAGTGGCTTGAGGTGGAATGTAGTATAATCACCGAGTGAGCTGGAATCTGTGTAGAGCTGCAGCTGAGACTGAGCTCTGGGTGGACACCGGAAGTGTCTGTTCCTCAGGCTGATGTCTGCTCATAGAGTGAGCCACACCCCAAGCAGCCTCCCAGGATCTAAAGGGTTCATGCTACCTTCCTCTGGAGACTGACTTGCTGTGCCTACACCCTCTCCTCTGATCATACACATCCCTGACAGTCTGAGACACCCAGGCCTCTGTGCACCAGGCTCCCTTTGCCTGAGAACACCCTTTCTTCCCTTCTGGCCTGGCCAGGCACCTTGCCGACCCCCCAGGATCATTTACGTATTTGTGGTATAACTGCTTATCTTGTGAATGGCCGCATCGCATTAGTGACTACCCACCTATGTCCCTCCCCCTGTATTCCTCCCTTTGCTTTTCCCATTCCTACCACATCATTGCCTCAGGAAAGAGCGGAGACAGAGCACAAAGCAATATAAACACATAGAAAATAGAATAAAAGTCTGCAAACATTAAGACTATGTGTTCTAAAATCTAATCCCTTACGGAGATGAATCTGCCCACGGCCCCATGGCCAGTCTCATGTGGCAGGAAGATGCCCATGTCCCTTGGGAGTGGGCTTGAAGGAGCACTATGAGCAGGGATTGGACTGTATCTGACTGGTGATGGATGCCCCGAGAGACTGTAAGCAGAACCCTCAAGAAGACTGGAAGCCCCCCTCTCCCAAGGCCTTGGCAATAGTTACATCTTTTGAAAATTAGACTGGGATTATGTTCTGCAGCCTTAATGAATTGAAAATTGAGACTAGAAATCAATTTGTGTTTTCAAGAAATGGCATGACTGTCTCGCATATACAAGTTGACGGATGTGATTTATACTGGCCCCGTGTGTCCAGACCAACCACCAAGCTATGAAATCCTTGAAGGAAAGAAGCACATCTTTTTAAAATCTTTGATATAGTTCCACACGGCAGATGCTCATGAAGCAGGAACCTAGCAGAGTGGATAATGACTGGATAGATGAATGTGTGTATGTATGTATGGATGGGATGGATGGATGGATGAATGGGTAGGTGGGTGGAAGGATGGATGGGTGTTTGGATATGTAGATGGGTAGGTGAGTGGGTAGATGGATGGATGGATGAATGCATATATGGATGGTTGGGTGGATGGATGAATGTATGACTGGATGGGTGGGTGGATAGGTGAGTGGACAGGTAGATGGATACACACACACAGATGGATGGATGGATTATTGATGGACAGCTAGATAGATGAGTGAAGAAGCCTTTCTTCAGGAGGATGTCTGCTTCAAGACAACCAAACAAGGATCTTAGGGTGAAGGGAGACTGAGATATGATGGAGCCAAGAGCAGTGGAAACACAAGACATTTACTTGAAAGTTACCAGAAAGCTCTCAAGCAGTGTTTCCTAATCTTTTTGGGGCCATTGACTCCTTTGAGAACACATGTCAAGCTAATTTTTGCTACGGAAATGCGTATACATACAGTTTCGCCTAACATTTTGGAGTTAATGAATTCACACGTGGACTCCTCATATAGCACTTCCCATATACTAAGCTATAACTGCCAATTTGCTGATCTGTCTCCTGTCGGGGCTGTGTACTCTAGAAGGAGCAGTGTCTCCTTCCAGGGGTCTGTGGACCCAGTTAAATCACATCAATGCTGAGCAATGAACTCGAGCGATCACCCTCTCCTTCCTCAGCTTCTGGGAACTATGGATGGCTACTCTGGGCCCGATTTTCATCTCCAACTCTTGCTTCTATTTGAAAGGGCAGCTGGTGAGGGCTGTGCTGAGAGAAGCTCCTCCATCTGCTGGGGACAGTGGCAGGAGCAGCTGGGAGGGGAACACATGGATGGATCCTCTCACTCATGGTCAAGAGTGGTTTAAAAATGTTTACCTACTGATTAAGGGTGGAAACCAATTTTAGCTGCTGTCCCAGACTTGCCATTAGCATGTAAACACTGTCCTGGATCTGGGCAGGCGTTAGCATAATAGCCGAGCAAGAGTTATATCAGTAATCACTTCTTTAATCAATGTTGTAATTTACAGACCATTGACTTTACTCATTTATTACCTTCTTGAGCTCTGGTGGGAGGGAACCTGGCCGCGCCAGAATATATAAATAATTAAGAGGAATGCCAAGGGTATGAAGTTGCGGTGCATGATAGAGCCATTGTCACTGCTATTCCTGAAGGTGTCATAGATGTCTGGGGAAGTCTCGGGATGCATTAATCATCTCCTAAGTGGCTAGAAGTGAGAACCACAATATCACAAAACGAGCTGGCTCATCTGCACAGTAGGAACCGGAAACCCCACAGGAATCTATTTAGTTCCTTGGCTTCATTTCTAGGACTCTTTCATCCTTCATTGTGGGTGGGCCGCCCGCCGAGAAAGCCGCCTGCTGGCCTCTGCCCACTCTGACATTTAAACTACCCAGTCCAAACGCACAGTGGCCGGACTGCTCTAGTGAAGCAGCACATGGTCAGCTGACATCTTCTGCTGTCATTTGGGCCTTGGCGACTTCCTGATGACAGCACCTGCTTCTTTCCCACGGGGAACCACTTGGGGACCACTTTCCATGGGGAGGGCAAAGCCATTTGCTGGTCAACCACTGACATCCAATGCAACTTTTGTCTGAAAAAGCAGCCGAGCATGTTCTCAAACTTGAGAAAATCCAAGCGGGAGGGTCAATGCACAGACTGTTGGGCCCAGCCCTAGAGTTTCCGACTGAGCAGGTGTTGGTGGGGCTCCCATGTCTGCATTTCTATCAAGGTCCCAGCTGATGCTGAGGCTCGGAGTCTGAGGACCACATGTGGAGATGCACTTCTTGAAATAATGCAATTCCCCTTCCTCTGTTTCCGTGGCACCTTCTACTTCCTGTCAATCCATTTGGGCTGCTGGAAGGGAGTAATGCAGACTGGGGGCTTAAGGAACAGACAGCTCCAGAGGCTGGAAGCCCCAGATGAAGATGGCAGCAGGCCCGGCGTCTGGTGAGGACCCATCCCATCTCTTAGATGCCAGCTTTTCACAATGTCCTCACAGCAGAAAAGGTAAGGGAGCTGTCTGGGGACACTGCTGTCAGGTCATAATCCCATCCACAAGGACTCTACCCTCACGACCCACCGCCTCCCAGAAGCCCCACCTCCTCATACCATTTCATTGCAGGTTAGTGTCTCAACTGAGGAAGTGGGGTGCGAGAGACACAGACATCCCGTCCACAACATATTCCTTCCAGTACTATAATCATTCAGTTATGATGCTTTATAGCACCTCTGTGCTATTGACTCCCAGAATCCTATCTCCAGAACCCAGTGGCTTATTCAACAACTCCACCTGGATCTCTAATTAGCATCTCAATAAGCTTGGAAATCAAATTCCTTGCGTTTTTTTTTTTTTTTTTTTTTTTTTTTTTTTTGCCGCTTAGGAGCCCAGAGGCTGGAAATAGAAATTAAATTCAGATACAAAAATATCAGATTTACATTTCTTGCACTCCTGAGTTCGTAGACTTGCCCTGTTCACACAAAATAGTGCACGGTCTTGTGAAGCAGCAATGTGTTCTTATAAAAGAACACGTGCAATATGCCTTCCTTATTTTGGCCCTTTCTGGAGCTACCAGCAGCATTGTGTAGAAGAGGAAACGGGGAGCTGCGGCTCCTCGCTGACCTGGTGGCTGGCCCGTGGTGGGGACGTGGGGTGAGCCACCTACTGATGACAGCTGCAGATGGCAGATTCAACAGACTACTTTGATGCTGCTGCCCTCACAAGTGGCATCCTGAGATTGTGGCCCTGGAAGTCATCCTTCATGCCTCGGGGGTCTCAGGGTCATCTCTGTTCCTACTAGCAGGTGAGCAGGGAAAGGAAGGGGCTGAGAGAGGCCACTGGCCAGCGAGTCCCATAGGTATCATGTCCGCATCTTCTCTATAAGCTGCACTGGCCCTGTATCTTGGCCCATCCTATATGAGCCCGCTCGGACGGGCTGGATCCGTCCAAATCTAGGCAGGAGACAGAAGCTACAGGTGACTTGGAGGAGACTGTGACAAAGGAACTCTTTACAAAGGTGTGGGCAGGGCTACAGAAACCAACAGAGACAGCACAGCACGCCAGAGATACAGGGGTAGAGGGTCAAAGAGCATCTCCAAAATCCAGGTCCAGCCAGAACCACAGGATGGGAGCTGGTTTAGAATTAGGGTCTTTGCAGTTATCAGCTGAAGTGAGGCCATACCAGCTTACCGTGGGCCACAGAGGGCTGGTGTCCGCATGGGTAGAGAAGAGGATGCAGAGGCAAGCGCCTGAGGGTGATGTGGGGCACAGGCAGAGGTGGACAGATGCAGCCACATGCCAGGGAATGGCAAGGACTGTGGCTACCGGGAACGGACAGAGGCAAGGCAGGGACTCTCCAGACCCCGGAGCCTTCAGAGGGAGCAGGGCCCTCCCCACACCCTGGTTTTGGACTTCCGACCTCCAGAACTGTGGGGGGAGCAGGATTGCTTTAGCCCCCCAGTGTGTGGTCATCTGTGATGGCAGCCCCGGGATGCTGGT